GATCCATCATCGGTTGTAACGGAGTTTGTAATGAAGGCGTCCCGTTTTGAGAAGGTAACGGTGTCCTCCTTAGGTGAAAGAGAAAACACGTCTGTTTGAATCAATTACTATTGTAATGTCGATCAATGTTAACGCTTACCGTTCTTGGGCATCGCCAACATTTTGATTATCGATGTTTAATGGTTGCGTCAACATAAGTGGCATATAAGGTGAAGAGGAAACAGCTTGCAGAGGCTCCTTATGAAATTCCGCTAGTAATCTTTCTCCAACAACTGGTTCGACTTCAGTGCCATCTCTACTAATTTTCACCTCGCGATTTAAGTTCCAAGGATTACGTAGGTGACGCGTTCGAATGAACGGCAATTTTTTACTGACATAAAAACATAATTAAATAGGGAAATAAATTGAACATTAAAATTTATGATATCTACTAACACTGTAATCCATTCTATTTTAAAAGTTGTTCCCCAGTTTCGCGAAGGAACACAGTCGTCTTCACAATCTTCATTTTCATCATCTTGTGACTTTTTCACTCGTGTTTTTGAATCTTCCGAGGCAGATGAAGGTCGCGAAGAGGAGGCAGCTAGTGCTGCTTCATCTATTGGAGTCCATTGGACGGTCTCTGTTGTCTCTTTACTAATCGGACTCTTCATTCTAAAGAAAACAATAATTTAGCGAAATCTATGGTTAGAAATTTTTTAACTAAAAAGCATGATCATTTTTGCAATATCTACTCTGCATATCCGTAAAACTCGCCACTCTTATTAGCACTGAAGATCAGATAAACATGTTCTGCACTCTTGAATTACAAAGCAAGGATAACGATGAGCTCACACTTATCGGGATTTGATTGCTAAAAATGAAAAAAAAAAGAGAAAAACTAACTTTAAAGGCTCTGTTCAAAGGAGCTTCATTATGAGGTTGCGTAGCCCAAAGTCCATTCTGCACGGAAATATCAAGATCATCTTGGGTCAACGATTTCAGGATAAAATATCTGTTCTGTGATGGAGGTTTTGACGGAGATATCGGTGAAGTAGTTGACGCAGACGTAATTGAGGATTGTCGAATTCGTTGTCGTGGTGGCACAGATGACCTACGAGATCTTGTAGAAGAAGACGCAGTAGATCCTGCTTCCGAAGGAGTAGGCGGAGATGCATTTTCAGAAACCAGAGACGACCGAGACCCTGATTTCTTTAGGTCCGCAGGTGTCTGCTGAATATTTACATGCGTTATAACGTGCGGAAACATTATTCTTGATAAAAGCAGAAAAGAATGATGATGATTTACCTTCCTTGGTCGGCAAACAAGCTTGATTCCTTTAAATTCTGAAAGGGATCAACACAGTTTAATCTAAGATACTTTAATAAGTAGATTATATGCATTCAAAAATCCATATACATTATACCTTTCTCGTTATATTTTTCAACGGCATCAATAACTGCCTCATGAGTCTTATAATTTACAAAGGCACAATTTGATTTTCTGATAAGAAATACGCTCTAAAATAAATAAATAAATAAAACAGGAGAGTCAATATGATTATAAAATGATTATTTGAATGAATCTCTAAATAGACAAAGAGAAAATTTATCGAATAATATGGCAATATAAAGGTCTCTTGACTATTTGTTGCCATAAGTATTTGAGACCTCCAATATACATTCATTACCTCCATATTTTCATCAGCAAAAAACTCCTTCAATTCTTCGTGAGTGGTGGAATCAGGTAGATTCCCTACCCAGAGAGCCTTATCCAGTTCTTTGGGCTTATTCTGTTGATGTATCCGTTGTGAACTAAATTCAAAATTTCTGGCTTGATCAAAAGAGCTTCTCCGAGACGAAAACCCGGAATCCCCTCCAGCACTGGGAGGCTTTAGATATCTCACAGAAAGAGGTGGAGTTTGAATTAGGGGATTGTGGAAGTGGGGAGGAGGATGCATTTGAGTAATTACAGGTATTTGAGGATAAGGATAAACGTTTGATCTTACGGGGATAGGTTGTGTTGAGGGAAGAAGTTGAGGGGAACGAGCAAATCTGTATTGAGAGTCATAAAGAAATTGTCCATTGTTTGGAAAGAATTGGGGGGTAAAGTATTGAGGAGTAACCGGAATGAACTGTGCATTTTGACTTGGGTACATTTGCGAAATCTCCTCGTACATTGATCCCGTCACACTGTGACCATTTGCGTAGGAATTACTGGCATTGTTAGTAACATTCACAGTGTTTGCGTTCACACCGGTGTTGGATGAAGCGAGAGTGCTAGTATTTGTTGTGGGAATGTTAATTAAAGAACTAGATGTCGAATTAAGACGCTGATGTATACTCAAACCAGATTGGGAATCCAACAACCTTTGAGAATTACCATTAACGCTCGGCCTCCGAGAAATCACATCCTCATTATCCTGATCATGATCAGGTGCACCATTGACACTATCACCATTATGTCCACTGGTGGTGGCGTCCTCTACATCAGAAACACCGTTGATCGCGGTAATATTATTAGACCTGTTGATGTTGTCCCTGCTTGACGCATTTTGATATGCGCTGGCAGAGTTTGAAATGTCTTTTTCGTTTAATTCTTTTTGTCTCCTAATTGCGTTCACTTTCAATTCTTGACTTGATTCGGCCGTTGAACTCGGTTCATTTTTTGATTGTTGTCCTTGAAGACTGAGGTGTGTCTGAGACGCGGGTTTCTTAGAGGTTACACCCGAAGGCACGTTTTCTCGCGATTCCTTGTTTGACGATGTTTGCTGTGATTCTGTTTCAGTAAGTTCTTCGCAAGACATTCTTATGTAGTTATAGTATATTGACGCCTTGTTTGAAAGAAAAAAATAGAGAAAGGAAAAAATAGAAAGAAAAAAAAAATTTTTTTTTTTTTAAAGAAATAACTACCCGCTTTATCAGTTAGTGAATGCTGGTGAATTAGACACGAACGAAATATA